CACCGTCTGTCACCACTCTTCCACCCATGGTCTTTATCCCAGCCCTCTTACCTCCTCAGGGAACTCTCTCACTTCTTTCTGCTCTGTCTAAAAACAGATTCACATTTTTACATCATGAAACCATAAATTCACTTGGAGAGTTTCATTGTCAGATATCATTATGAGTGATGCCTGTGTAGCACTTGAAGCCAAATTGGCAGATCAAGACAACAGAATAGGGAGTCCAGAAGCAAAAAATGACATTTATAAATATTTAGAATACAAAAATGTGACAATTCCAGTGGAGGAAAGGATGAGTTGTTCAATAAAACTTAGGAATGAATGGTACTGTACACTTGGCTATCTATTTAGGGGAGGAAATGACCCTAATCTCATGACATAAACCACATTTTCCAAAGAATTGATTGTAGGAAATTTATTTGGAGGAAATTGGTGAATATTTATGTACTCTGAGGTGAGGAATACTTAGTCTAAGAATAATTTCATTGTAAAAACCAAGAGAAATGTCCACAGTGGGCAGTACATACAAACCTTCAAGCCTGCATGAAAAAATTCTACAAACATTAACTGACCTCAATCAAATGATCCAACTCAACGTTGCCAGCCAGGAGGATGCTGGCATCACTCGCCCCCAACGTGATACTGGTGAGCTCTTCTGCCCAATAGTAACCTACGTCGAATCATGAGGAATAATTAGACAAATCCCAACCGAGAAGCCTGCACAGTTGGCATGAATCCTGCAAAGACATCAATCTCGTAGAACATGGAAAAGCCTGGGAAGTGTTAGAGCAAAGGAGACAAAAGGGACATGACAATTAACACGATGCATAACCCTCGATTTGATTCTTGATTGGGGACAGGGAGAGGGGGGAAGCAGTTGTGCATAAAAGACATTATTGGGACAACTGGGCAAAGTGGAATATGATTGTATGTTAGGTAACAGTATCGTATCAACATCAGACTTCCTGAGCATGATCATTGCGTGGTGGTTTTGAAGGAGGATGTGCTGGTTCTAAGAAACATGGAAGTTTTATTACACTGAAGTATTTTGAATGAAGTGTCAGGATGTCTACAATTAACTCTTAAATGTTTCAGGAGAAACACAGAGCAACAGAGAAAGGATAAAGCCAGTGTGGCAGCCTTAACTGCCAGCACATCAGTGACCTGCCACCCAGCTCCCCACTCCAGAACAGAAATGCTCATCCCCTGCTGTTGGCAGTCCTGGCAGCCCTTTGCTCAGTCCTCCCTGGGACTTGCCAGGGCTGAAGATAGGGCATGGGGCTCAGACGCAGGATCAATGCTTCCACTTTTCTGTGAGCTTGAAATTCTTTCAAACTTAACACTTAGGGAAAAATAATTAAAAGACAAACAGGGAATAATGTTTAGCACAAAGGGTTAGTATCTCTAATACATATGACCAGAGTCATGTCACATGGGTCCTTTTACCTAAGGGAGTCTGGGAGCACAAGTGCCTGACCTTTCCAGCCTCCATGGCAGTAAAGGCAAAGAGGAAGGGAGTTATGGGGGCCTGTGGGGTGGATGACCTACAGGGCTGCTGCACATTTCCTGTCATTTCAGTCATGTTTTCTAAACCATGAATTAAAGTTTTCTATTATGCCAGTTTCACCAATGAGAAGACCAAGGCTCAAAAAGAGAACGTTCACTTTTTCATGGCCCGGGTCTGGCATCTCCTCCTCCTGGAAGAATTCCTTGTAAGTCCAACTCTGGGCTAACTTAGATATATGCCTATCCCTGTATACCCTGGGACTACGTCCATGTTGGCATCTCCAACTGTCCCTGAGTATGGTGTGAGCCCCACCAGGGAAGCCTGCGTGTCCTGCATCCCCAGGGTCTGGTGAGGTCACAGGCCCGGAGCTGTGCCCAGGAGCTTTTGCCAAGTGACGAGGGACACGGTGGCCTTGCTCCTCTTGGGGCTCCTGGAGCAGTACAGCATCACTCTAGAGGACAGAGACAAACCAGCTGGTCCCCAAAGATGCGCCCCACCAGAAACGGGCAACGTTGGCGGTTGGCTTGGCCAAACCTCAGGCCAGACTTCCTGCGGGCTGTGGTGTCTCTGACTGACTGCAACTTCTCTGGGGAGTGGGGGTGGCGAGAACTGAGCCCTGGAGCATCCCTCCCAGGCAGTGGGAAGGGGGATGCTGTGATCCTCTGCCATGTGGTTTACGTTACTGCAGCTTCAGCCATGGAAGGGGCTCCTTGAGTCAAGCAGGAAGCAGAAAATATCAGATTTAGATCCCACATTCCATGCATTGTATACAATTATCCACTGGAGCCACACAGGGGCAGGCAGGACCCACAGAGGCAGAGAATGGGATTGATCTCGGGCACGGGGTCATTCTTTTCTGGGGAACCGGTTGTGTTATTGGCAGGCACCAGGAGTGCCAAGTCCCTCTGTGGTGCACGGTCGGTAACCCTGGGGCCGGGGGTGATGTCATTTGCCTGCAAAGCATTGGTGACAGGCACACTACCCACTCCAGCAACAATGGGGAGTCCCCTCCTTCACAGCCCCCCACCTGTGCTTGTCCCTAGACACCTGTGCTTGTCTCCTCCACAGGCTGTCACAGCAAGCTCAACCCCACTCAGCTTCCCCAGCTTCCACCTGGGACCCCGGCATCAGGGTTTCCAGCCCAGGCTGGCTGCGCAAGGGCTGGAGCCACAGATCAGCCACCTGACATCCCCAGGCCCTCAAACGCCTCCTGTCCCAAATGGAGCTCATCACACCACCACCACCTCCAGGGGTGGTGCCCAGAGAAAGGTGCCACCGTCTGGCCACTCAGAGTAGCCAAGCCAGACGGGCATTGTAACTGCCCTGGCCTACATCCCCTTGAGTCCTGGTCATGGCCAAGGAACGCCTAAGCCTTCCTCTCGCCCGTGCCCTCCGCTCCACCCTGGCAGCCTCACCCTGGTTCATGCCCCATTGTCGTCAGTCTGGATTGCTCTGCAGTTCTGCTCACCTGCTTATCTCTAGGCTCCAAGCCAGTGTCCTCCATTCATTACTGCTCATCCTGTCTACAAAAAATCTGGAACAACCCAATAAGGCATATTAACTTATGTATTTATTCAAGAGATACATTGGAGAAAGTGAATCATTTTTCAAAACTTTTTACTGTAGGATTACTTCACGAGAATCAGACTCAAATATAAGTAATAATGTGGTCATGATGATAAGGGCTGGTAAGTCAAAGTTCGCAGGAAAGAGGAGGAACGTTACTCCATCACGTGTTCTGGTGCCACTATGCCCGGCTTCTGCTCTTTGTCACTGTATTTCCATGAAGGGAGTGCAGAATAGGGGCGGGGGTTACAACTTTCTCCCAGTACTGTTTCCACCCTCAGCTTTGCTTTTCCCAGGCCACTTTGGCAGGTGACTCGACCTGTTTCTCATCCCATGGTGAACTGGATCTATCAGGGGAGGGACTGGCATTACATTCTGCATGCCTCAACCCCTAAGCCCACACTTTTGAGGAAAACTGGCCTCTGGACCCCATTGCCTTGGTGTGAGCTGTGGACACACAGGCAGCCATTGGAGGCAGGGCAGGCATAGAGAGTGAGCAGATGTGGAAGGAGCCAGACCTCAAAAAGGGGTTAGGAAGGCAGCAGGTCTGTGGGCACACTTGGAACGTGAAGGCCTGGAGTGTCTTGTGCACTAGGAGCTGCAGAGATGGGAACAGAGACCCAGCTCAGCAGGTATTGAATGAACAAACGAATGAATGAACGAATGAAAAAGCCATGAGAGAGAGGGGAGGGTTTTATGATGGATTCTGTCTAGCTGTAGAAACTGAGCAGTCTTGTCTTTTTCGTAGCTAAACATTAAAGCAACACAGACCCTCACTCACACTGGCTAAATGTCACTATGTGCCAGGCCCTGAGCCGAGCATTTTATAGGACATTGCAAAGAGGCAGAAGGTTTGTTGATCAGAGTTCCCGGATGGTGAGTGTGGGAAAGGGAGGCTGGTTCTTTGGGAAAATGCAGTCAAGCAGAACCCCCAAGACCTCCTTTTCCCAGAGGGTGGGGAGGGAGTTTCAGGAAGGGGGGAGAGGTTCAGGAGGGTTCCTGGACAGAGGGGTCCACACACAGAGAGGGAGGGAGAGAGTTTTAGCATTCTGTATGAAGGAAACTTTGGGGCGACAAAGAGTCTCTCCTTGACCAAACTTCAGGCCCCTCTGGCCCTCTTCTCGCTGGGACTGGCCCTCTACCTCCCACCCCCATCCTGTCTTGGGCCTGCCTGGCCCAGTCTGAGCAGGAATCCCTCACCCTTGCCATCTCCTCTAGCACATTTCCATCGCCGGCCACTCCCTCTGCCTTAGCTATCAAGCCGCACTCGCGCGCTGTATTCAGAGGTGGGCCTGATCTCTCTCCTACGGTGGGAGTCCTGACTCTACTGCAACAGTCTTGAACGTAGTTTTCCTTACTGTTTTAGTAGGTGTCAAAATAACATTGCAGGGGAGAGGAGAGACACACAGCTTTCAGCAGCCTTTGCTGGGAAGGCCCTGTTGGCCTCCTTCAGGAAAGTACTAGGAGGCCTCCCGCACTGGGCCGTGCTGTTCCTCCACGGGACCCCCTACAAAGGGTCTAATTTATCTTGTTTGTTGGGCTGTTACTTCGACCCTCTTCCAAACATTCCTGAGGCCGTGAGCCCCGGTGCATTGTTTCCTCAACACTCCCCAAGGCGGGGCGGACCAAATAATGTGTCCCTGAGCAGGGACACAAGGTGCCTTCTTAAGAGGGAACTGGGAGCTGCCGCCCACACCATCAAACAGGACTTCAGGCCCCGACACGAAAGCGTTCCTTTCCTGGCGCGCCTCCCGGCCGCCCGGTTGGCTCAGGACGCTCGGTTCTGGCTCAGCTCGACCCGGGCCTCGGGCAGCGAGCGCGCAGCCCACGGAAGGCGCTCTGCGCGGCCACCGCCCACGGTCCCAGAAAGGCCAGAGCTGCACGGCCACCCCTGGGCCGAGCCCGGCGGCCACTAGGGGGCGGGCAGGGGCCGCAGCCGGGGCGGGCCGTGCGCGCGGGGCGGGACGCGGCGACGCCAGCGCCTGCGGATCCCGTGACCGACCGCCCCGCCCGTGGCCGCCGCGGCCATGCAGACCCCGGCGGTGCTCGTCACCTCCAGGTGAGCTAGACCCCCGCGCCCGGCGCCGCGTCTCCCACAACGCGGAATCCGGGTGCGCGCGCGCCACGTCCCGCCGCGCCCCAGGCTGAGCAGCAGACGGAAGCAGCCGGCCAGTGCGTCCGCGGCGTCCGGCCGGCCCCCCAAGCGCCCTGCAGAAGAGGGGGCTGGCTTCGAGCGCCCCGTTTTACAGATGGGGAAGACTGAGTCCGCTAGAGGATGCTGAACTCACCCAAGACTAACCCAACAGCCAGTGAAAGGCCTGGAGTGCTGGTCCCGCGCAGGCGGGCAGAGAGGGGGGCTCTCTTCTCCCCTTTCCTGCCAACCTGCATTCATTGCTTTTGGAAATCCAGTTAGACATGCATCTTCTCGGTGCTCAATGCGCCAGGCCCGGTACAGGGCACTGGGGACGGGGTTGCCCTGCAGGAGACAGGGATAAACGTAGACCTGCGGGGCCCTGATGCCAGGAGGGGTAGTAAGTTCGAGTTGCCATGGGAACACAGTGCAGGGGCTAACTCAGGCTTCTGGGAGGGGGTGAATGAAGTCAGCTCCTGCAGGAAGAGCGGGAAGTTACCAGGTGAAGGGGAGAGAAGAGGTGGCAGCTGCTCCAGGAGGTAGGCAGCTCAGTAGAAGTTACAGCAAAGGCCTCAGAGGCAGAGGATACCGTGTGGGCCCACCCTGATCCAGACCTGGGGGACCCCGTGCAAGACGGATCCTGGAAAGGTTGGGATGGATGTGGTTTTACCCTTTGCCCCTTTGTAATATATATAATGTGACTCATTTCAGGTATTTTCAGGAACTCCAGCCTTGTTCCCCTACACAAAATCTTGGACTAAGATGCCAATTTATTACACAAACGAGTGTGTTACCCAGCCCAACTGTTACTTTTTCCAGCTGCACTCTGAACTTCCGGGTGACTTCACGTCTAGAAAAATGTGATTCCTTAAGTAAACCGTGATGTGAGAACCTGCTCTGCCTGGTACTGTGAGGTCGCAGGGCATATCTTCACTGGCAGAAGTTTTCCCTAGTGCCACATAAATCATGTCTTTCTCAGCCTCAGTTTCCTTTTCTGCAAAAAGGAGATTTGAGATTGACAGGTATGAGCAGGCAGAGCAGCAGATACTCATCTTAGCCACATGCAGACCAGTGAGGGTGTGACTTTGGTGCCAGGTGCTTCGGAAGCAGGGGTTGGCTTCCCTCACCCCCACCCAGACAGGGTTGGTCATACAATCAGTATATTTGTGCAGCATTTACAGATTCTCCGAGAGCTGTAATGTTTCCCAGAGTATTCTCTCACATCCTGGTCTAGCCGCCCACTGGGTGCTTGGAGGGCCCTGGTTAGTGAGGGCCCGGACCCAGTGCCCTTTCCACCGTGCCGCAGCAGGGCAGGCACTATGTGGCTCTGCTGCCCTCCTGCGAGCACATGAGGAGAGTCCCTCCAGATTCTTGGTAGGGTTCATTCCTGCATTGTGAGCACAGAGAGGGTGCTTGCCTTGGTGGGAATAGAGTCCCTGAGATGCCACAAGGCGGGCAGAGCTCATGCACCAAGTTTGTGGACTCCATTGACCTGTTTGTGATTTCTTGCGAGCCCTTGTCTTCTCTGCTGTCACTTGTTTTCCAGCTTTTGGGAGCAACCCCAAAGTAGGGCCTAGGCTCGGGAAACCAGGCTTTATGAGGGGCTGGTGTGTGGTGGGGCAGGTGGCCTGGAGCAGCGTCCATGGAGGGCAGCAAGCAGAGAAGCCTCTCACACAGGCCCTCTGTCCTGCCTGTGTTTGCTCAATAGGCCTGCTGCCTTGAACTGAGCTTCGTTTGCTTTCTTTCCCTTTGGCAGGCGAGTTCAGAATGTGCACACGGGCCTCGACCTGACTGTGCCCCAGCACCAGGAGGTGCGGGGCAAGATGATGTCGGGCCACGTGGAGTACCAGATCCTGGTGGTCACCCGGATGGCTGCGTTCAAGTCAGCCAAACACAGGCCTGAGGATGTCGTCCAGTTCTTGGTGAGCTGGGGGCTCAGCCAGGATGCTCCTGAGGGTGCTCAGGGCCCAGGGGTGCAGGTGGGCTGACACACGTGCCACCAGGGTGGGAGTAGCTTCAGGAAGTGAGCACTTCTTAGCAGGCACTTGCTTAGGGCCTGGGAGTGCCAGAGCATGTCGGCGGTAAGAACACGAGAGCAAATCAGATGATGCTGACAGTCTGTTGGGGGACAGATGCAAGTGGTGGCAGGAACATGCAGGGGAATGTGGGAGTGTAGAGAAGTGGCACCTCACCCACCCTGGAGAAGTGGTTCCAGAAGACTCCTCGGCAGAGATGAGGACTGGGCTGTGTTTTAAAGAGCAGGTAGAGCCCTGCAGCAGAAGAGCAGTATTCCAGGCAGGGAGCACCACCTAAGCAAAGGCAGGAAGCCGTCGTGCAGGGAGCTGTGAGCAGCTGAGCATCATCCTGGGTGAAGCAGGAGAGGACGAGGATGAGGACAGGTAGGGTCCAGGTCCTAGAGGGGGTGCAGGGAGCCCAGCTCATCTCGCAGCCAAGGACGGGTTTTAAGTAGGGGCTGGCATGGTCCCATTTGCCTCTCGCTGGCCCATCTGATTGGAGAGTGGCGTTGGATCAGGAGGAACCAGACAGCTGTCAGTTAAGAGGCTAAGGCAGGAATACCCCAGGTGAGGGTGGGGAGCAGGCCAACCATAGTTGGTGTAGAAGGGAGGGAGAGGGTTAAATATTTCTAAGGTGACAGGCCTGTGATTTGCTCACTCATATTGTTCCCACCGACTGCAAGAAAGAGCAGCAGTGCAGAGGCGTGTCTAAGGGGAGCGTGTCAAATGTGAAGGGTCTTCCCAACAGAGCAGGACAGGGTCAGACCTAAGAGGCAGGTATGGGAGGCTCAACTTGGAGGTGAGGTTGAAAGTCCAGGAGTGCATGTAGTTTCCCAGAAAATGAATGTGGAAGAGTCAGAGGGAAGGGCTTTAGGAGGAAACTCTGGGGGTGCAAGCAGCTCAGGGATGGGCAGGGGAGCCAGGGGAAGGCAAGGGGGCATCATGGAGTCACAGAAGCTAAAGGAGACTCTTTTTTTAAAAGGTACAATGAGCAAGAGTCCTGTGATGTAGACAGGAGCAACCAACTGTGCATGTGCACATGGTTAGTTGTGAATCTCCTAGTAGCCAAGACAAAAAGAGAAACAGTGAATTACTTAGCTCAAGTGACCATTAGAAGAGACACTAAATTCTAAGAGATAAAAATTTGTGGTACAGATCTTCCCATAACTGACATTCACCACATGGAAAGCATCTAAAAGAATGTGGTGTTTGTCATTTGCTTCTTAAATTGACTCCTGGAAGACCCAAGGTGGAATGTTATGTGGTGGTTCTGGGTCTGCTTTGCTCTCCGGGATGGTTTGCAGCTCATGTGATCTGACTCGGCCCAGGGTGGAGCTAAGGGGTGGGAGCAGAGAATATCTGAGATCAGTGTCCCTGGGCATGACAGAGAAGCAGCATTCTGGGAGTCCTTGAACGCCCATGCCAGCTTGCTCGGTCTTTGCAAAGACCCATATGAAGGTATGTGTGAGGATTCCTTAACCTTCCACGCACCACCACAGTGCCACTTTTTTCTGACCAACAACATCCTGTGGGCACGTGTGTGTATGCACAGGTGCCCATACAGGCAAGAGCTTCTCAGCATTTCTGTCCCCCTGAGAGGGCAAAGGAGAATGCATTTGCTCCCCACGAGTTCTTCGTGTATAGTCCAAAGCCTGATATGTCTTTGAGGTTTCATGATTTAGCTAAAAAAAGGAGGGGGGACACGTTTTGCATTCTCTTAAAACATGTGTTTTAATATAAAAATGCATGTAATTTTTTATATTAAAGTGAAACCAGCCTCCAGAAAGGGGCAATGGATTTGCTTTCCATTTGGCAGACACCATATGTACTAGCAAGCACCCACTGAGGTTGAGGACATGGGACAGTGACACTGTGTGCCTAGCACAGGAGCACTCTAGGTCAACAGGAGTTTGCACCCTCTGCACTCAGTGCCTCTCTCTTCACCTTCTTTGCATGCTGTGCATGTAGCTACCTGGGAAGCCCTAGCTTTTGAACACTGATGGACGTGGGTCTTAGATGGGTGGCACCCCTGACTTAAAACTCCCCAGCCTGGAGACGGGTGGTTCCCAGAATCCCATCCTGGTGGGTCTGAGGGCTGAGCCCACATGGAACAGTCAGGCCAGCAGAGGGCGCTCAATCCCTAGGGTCAGGGTTTTCAGGATTGGGCCCACTCCCTGCCGGGCTAGACTCATCCTGTTCTCAGAACACAGGGCTGGAGCCTGCGTCACTTTTGTGAAATGACCCTTTTACTTTCCTGGAGGGCTGTTCTCAGGAGCCACACTCTTGTGTCAACAACTGTAAAATGCAGTCAGTCCCCTGTTCCAGATGACTCCCTATCAGGGGGCTGTTTTTCTGAAGTCCCCTGGTGCCTCAGGCCCCTGCTGGCATCTAGAACCCTCACAGGCTGGGGGTTCTGGTGGCAGGGCTGGTTAGCCAGGTCTCCCCGTGTCTGCCTCCAGACACCCCGCAGCCCGTCTGCCCACTAGCATTTTGGGGGTGTGCTGCTGGCATCCTTCCACTCCCTGGCCTCGGAGTAGAAGTGAGGATATCCCTGTCCGTAGGCTCGATGCCCCCACAGAGGAGCTGGGGAGACAGGCCCGGCATGCAGGGAGAGCACAGTATGTGGCACAGAGCAGTCCCCGTGTTGGGAGGTACAGACCACAGCAGTGATGCCCCACACAAAACCTGGAGCTTCGTGGGGCTGAGGCCATGGTGGGGCATCCCATTCAGAGCAAACTGCATCTAGCAGGAGCTAGGTAAGTGAGGGAGTGAGCCCGTAGCTGCAGTAGGAGTTCTGGGGAGAGGCTGAGAAGAGGTGGCTGTTGACTTCCAACTGTCCAGGAAGCTGGGTGCTGCCCCACTGTGGCTCAGATGGCCTGGGACCACCTCCTAGTGGCCCCTAGGATCCCTGGCCTGCTTCCCTGAGGTCCCCATGTGCAGTGGGGTCTTGGCTGACTGCAGGGCTGAGAAGCCAACTTTGCAGTATCTGGTTCTGCACCACCTGAGCACTGTAAGGACTTCCCCCCGGAAGGCTGCTGCCGTTTCATGGGGGAATGATCCCGAGATCTATGCTGAGAAAAGGCGACTCGTGTTGTTGCAGAAAGATGACCTAACAGCTGGCCAGATAGTGAGGTCACCCTGCTAATGCCCTGCAAGCCCAGAAGGGAGGCACTGGGCCTCTGTGTTCACCTGCAGGCCAGGCTGGGGCCCCTGGGTCGCGTGTGTCTTCCTGGACCTGTGCAGCACCCCAGATCCACCATGATGGCCGCTTTCCTTTGGGGCCCTGGGACTTTGATAACTGAGCCTCACACTGACTGGGAAGGTCAGGAATGGAGCTGGAGGGAGGCTCACCCAAGGCCCTCATCCTGTGGCAGCAGGTCCCAGGAGGACACTCTGAACGGCCGCCTCTGGCATGTCTGGTTGGGGTGAGGGAGGCCCACTCACCTTCCACTCTTCACTCCCCTCATTCCAGGTCTCCAAGAAGTACAGCGAGATTGAGGAGTTCTACCAGAAACTGAGCAGTTGTTACCCGGCAGCCAGCCTTCCCCCGCTCCCCAGGAAGGTCCTGTTTGTTGGGGAGTCTGACATCCGGGAAAGGAGAGCTGTGTTCGATGAGATCCTGCGCTGCATCTCGAAGGATGCTGAGTTGGCGGGCAGCCCAGAGCTGCTAGAATTCCTAGGTACCCAAAGCTCCATCCCGAATCCCTGAATTCTTCCCTGGCCCCAAACTAGGCCTGGCTGCCCTGGCTCAGCCAGAGTGGGCCCCGCAGCTGCCTCCTGCAGCCCAGAAGCTTCCGCTACACTGTGAGACAGGCCGGCAGGCAGGCCTTAATGCTCTCCTGGCCGAGATGGTGGGCAGATGGAGACCTGACCCCCAAGGACTGACTGCCTGGGTCCCAGATGGGACATACACAGGGGCTTTCTCATAGTCCAGCCCCACCTCTGCATCTCCTGGCCAGTCCCATCCACACCTTTGCCTCCTGCCCCTTCTATTACTGAGAAGCAGGATGGGGTGATTTGACTTCGCTAACCTCTCTCTGCCTCAGTTTCCTCATCTGTAACAGGGAAGTATAAATAGGATCTCATGTGGGATTTCTGCAATATTTAAATGAACCAATACCTGTAAATTGTTTATACACGGTGCTTATTACATAAAATTGAAGAGTCATGAGATTTTCATCAGTATTGCCACACTTGTCCTGGTAAAATAAAGCGTAAGATAATATAATGCAACCTGTCCATTATCACTTAGTTTTACACATCACAGTAATACACCTTACATCAGTACATGTGTATTGCACACACCAGGTAGTTTTTACCTAAGGGTGATATTTTTTTAAAAGTGACTGCTATCAAAGATAAACTACTTAATAACCATTGGGATAGTGATGAACAAGTAGTCTCAAGCCATGCTTCTCAAATCATTTGCAGGGAAGGACCAGCTTTTTTATCCCCAATCTTTTGCAGATAGATACTTTCACAAATAGAGAATTGACTATTTGGGTGTTGGAATAATGCCAAGCTGGTATGGAAGTTTCTGGATGCTTGCTCTCTTTCTGTACTTGCATCATCATGGACACCCATCTGTGGACAATGCTTTGAGAAGGACTCATATAGCCAGTTTGTATTGGAGCCATCACAGTTTGTTCTGGAATCTTCCCTGTGCTCCCAGCACTCATCAAGCTCATAGTCTAATTGCCCAGACCCTCAGAGTAGGCCCTCATCCATGGTTGGGTTGGCAGAGCTCCCTGACATGCCCCACAAGGTACACTGGCTGGTTTCTCCCTCTGTTAACCCCTGGACGTGCTCATCCATCCCTGTGGTACCAACAGGCCCTGCACCACAGCCATTCAGGAACCTTGGCCTGTCTTGCTCTAAGGCTCCCACCTATAACCACTCCCCTGCAGGCCTCACTGGTGCCCGTCAGTCCTTGGGAGGCTGCAGAGGGCACTTGGAGCTCAAGACCCACCATCCTGGGTCCAGGACGCTACAGGAAGCTCCAGCCACAGGTGTTGGCACAGGGGCCTGGCAGCACTACCTCATCACTTCATGGTGGGGCTACAGTGACCTCCTCCGTTTCCCTCACAGGTACCAGATCCGTGGGGGCTGCAGACCTCAGCAGCAGAGAAGTCTCTGTCCTGGATGCACACAGCCAGGCAGGGGACGGCGGGGAGGCTTTCGACTTCTTCGAGCAGCAGGACCGAGCAGAGGGTGAGGGTCTGCCCCTCCCAGGCCTGAAGGCCGAGGATGCAGAGAGGTCCTCAGAGGAGGAGGAGGCACTGGACCCTCTGGGCATCATGCGGTAGGTCTCCCCGTTCTCGGTAGGGCCGCCTCCTGGCTTGCTTCAGGCTCTCCTTCCCTCCTGGGAGTGTGAGGACGCCTGTCTCCCTGGGTCATCGCCCCCACCCGTGGCCTCACATGCTTGGGGAACCAGCTCCCAGCTCTGTCTCTGGCTCTGTCTCTGTCTCTTGACATCGCCATGTCTCTGGGCTGGGCTCAGGTATCACCTGGGGCTCCCTGGTCACAGGGAGACCCTTGCCCCCAGCTCTGCACCAAGGTCTGACAGGGCTGTCCTCTACCCCTGACAGTTAAGCAACCTTGACTGTCTAAACCTGGTAGTCTAGCTCAGAAGGCCTGGATTCTCTGTCCAGCTCATCACTGATAGTCTGCAACCTGCAGCGTGTGGCTAGAACTCCCTAGGCTGTACTTAACTGTCCTTAAAGCAGGGGTATTGACCTCGGCCCTGCTTCCCCATAAGGTGGTTGTAAGACTTCCCTGAATCACATGGGTGGAGGGGCCTGGTGACCCATAAGGTGCTGACTGTATGTTTTGCAAGGACATAGAGTAAACCCCGGGATCCTTTAGCCAGTGGACTGTGTCTCCTTTACATGCACACACACGCACACACATGTACACTGACTGGAGAAGGACAGGCAAGCCAGCCATGGCCTTGGTGGTTCCTGGTGTCCTGAGTCTGTCGCCTCCTTGTTTCTTCTTCTTTCCTGGATCTTTGAATGCCCTCAGCCAATCAGTGAGTAGCTCCTGAGTCCCCACGGGGCGGGCCGCCCTGTGCTGGGGGGAGAGGTCTGCAGGCTAGAGGAGACAAGAGAGCCAGACGTTTCCCAAGGCCCCTGGGATGGGCCCAGACTGAGGTGCTTGGGCAGGACCTCCCGACCAGAAGGGGATGAGGGAGAAGCAGACAGACTCAGCCACCCCAGGGCCCTCACTTCTTGGCCTACATGTGCATAAACAAGGTGGGAACTAATGTTTGTGAGCACCTGCTGCATACTGGGCGTTGTGTTTCCACATTGTGTAATGTGTCTCATTCACACCATACCCTGCAAGCAGCTATTATTATCCCATTTTACAGATTTAAAAAACTGAAGCCTACAGAGGCCAAGTGCCTTGCCCAAGGTCATGCAGCTGGTAAATGAGGTCAGGATCCTGGGCTTGAACCCTGGCACTGCCATTTTCCAGCCATGTGTCCCAGGTAGTTTACCCCTTTTTTTCAGTTTTCTGCAGTGAAAATAGGATGATAGCACTTACCATTTGGGGTTCTTGTGAAGACCGAGTTAATATAAATGTCAGTCAGCCCTTAGCTTCTGTGGGCTCATCTCTCTGCCCCAGTCCCTGTGCAGAATCAGAGCACAGACCCGGCGTGACATTCTCTCTCCCCTGATGAGGGCATCCTAGACATTGACTGAGGTTCAGTCCGTAGGTGAAGGAGACCTGCCTTCCGGGTCCTATTCCAGGAGTTAGAGCCGATTAGGAATCAGGCAGGGGTAAGTGCAGCCTAAACACCATGAATAATGTGGTCATGAATGCCCTGCCCACTCTCCACAGCCTTCCTTCCTCTCCTGGTGGACGTGTGACCGTGGGCACCCGGTGGGGAGACAGGGCTGCAGGGTTGCTGAGAGCGCAGCTTAGAGGGGATGAGGAGCCAGAGTCAGGAAAGATCCCAGGTGTTCAGGGAGATGGGGGACCCAAGCCAGAGGCCCTGCAGCACCTCGGCGCCCAGGAATTGGGGCCCTCCCACTCGTCCACATCCGGCCTTGTCGTGGACAGGGGTCAACAGCCCTATGGAGTGGCAGTAAGGTTATGTCAGGAGAGTTTGGAATAGCTACTCGTTATCAGCCTTGCACAACCCGCAGGCCCTTCTTGGGGTTTATTTTGTTTAAGTATAAGGCTTTGTTTGAACTCACGCTCTGTTGTTCTGGGTAACCACATGTAGTGCCAAACTGAGATGGACTTGGGTGGTTCATGCCAGCCTTTGGCCAATGGACATGCTTAGCAAAGCGGCTCCTTTTTTGGGTAGGAAAATGCTCTTTGGGTTGGCAAGGGCTGCCTTGCTTTTCCTACTGAACTCCAGTAGCACATTGTCAGTGGGTGTCAGCCGTCCAGCCATCTGGGGACCACCTGCCCCACAGTGCCAACCCCTACTCTTCTCTCCACGGTCTTCATTCCTGAACCCTAGGAAAGCTTAGCACCTAAAAGCAATCCCAGTTATGACCTTCTGCCAGTATTTCTTTTAATGACCATTGTCAGGACTGTTGCCTCCATCAGAAATAACAACACCTAACATTTTTTGAGATCCTTATTACATGCCAGGAACCGATTAGCATTTACACGAACAAATCTTTTCTATTCTATTTCACTTTTTTAAAAAGGTCATGATGTACCAGACTGCTTTCAGCATCCAGTACTGGCGTCCAGCCCGTTGTGTGTATGAGGAAGCTAAAGTCTGGAGTCAGGTAGCTTATCCAAGTTCATGCAGCCTTAAATGGCAGAGCCAAGACTTGATGCCACTTCCTTGCCCTGCCCCTCGATTCCAGTCTTTCAGCAGTCGGGAGGTGAGCAGGGCCCTAGAGTTATCCCCCTTTCACAGATGGGGACAGTAGAGCGGGGACTTGGCCAGAGGCTTGTGTGTGACAGAACCCTGCCTTGAAATCGGTTTCCTGGGGCCTCTCCCAGGATGGCGGGTGCCTGGGTGAGTCTGTTGACTTCTTGCACTGCACTGCCCACCCGCCCTTCGGTGCAGAACATAATGTTCTTCGCAGGCAACGTTGCTTTGCCATCTTTTCTCCGTTTCTCTGCCTTGTGCCCAGTTTTTCTGAGGCAGCTCCCTGCATTGCCAGCAGCGTGCTGCACCCCACCCCACCGCAACCAGCGCCCACCTGGTCCCGGCTTTCCCCAGCAGCCACGTTTCCAGGAGCTGGGCGCCCGTCCTTCCTGTCCTGGCCCCAGCGGGGCGCTGTTGCTCCGCTGCAGAGCGGCTGGAAGGGGTGGCGCCGCCAGCACAAAGCCTTGAGCAGCCGCGGGCCTGGGTTTTCTTTGTCTGTTAGACCTGTTTTCCATTAAGGCAAAGACGAGTTCCTACACCGTTAGAAAGTGCTGAAAGACAGACAGAGCCCTCACCCGGCCCTTCCCGACAGCCGCGCTCCTACCTGCCGGGTTTCTGTGCGGCCGTCCCCGTGCCATCCACGTGACTGCAGACACAGCGCACAGGCCCTTTGTGCTCTGCTTTTTCAGAGCGTGTCCTCTCATGATCACTTTCCAAGTGCTGCGGAGTTTTCGTATTTAACTTTTCTATTTTAGAGGCTTCACAGTTCTAAGATGAAGTTCTACCATAATAGTCTGCCTTCTGCTGAAAATACTCCACTAGAAACTTTTTTAATTGTAATTTGAATAATATACGATTAGTATAAGAAAATTGAAAGCACCATTCAAAGGCCTTTCCCCGAGAAGGCATATACATTTCAGATATTTACATTTTATTACCCAAATGGGAGAGTGTTATGTGCACCATTTCATAATCTGCTTTTATTCAATATATGTACTGGATCTTTCCAGATCAATAGGCTTATGCATTCGTAGCTCTGTGCTAGTTCGCTGGGTCCATGTGCTGTATAAGTGGCATTGCCAGACCCCTGCTTGGGGACATTATGGTGTTTTCTGTAGGTTTTTGCTGTTACAGGCAATGAGGAACTTTTCCATGTATGCAGCATATATTCTATCGAGCTTCCCCCCCCACCCCGGACACCTGCCCTCGAGCGGGTCCTGGAAGCTTCTGCTGGGGGCCTTGGTTGTGCCACTCCAGTGCAGTGTTCCTTAGGGATGTAACACCCCTCTGGTGGGAAGGCCTTTCCAGACCCTGCACATCATTAAGGCCCGCTGCCTCCAACATCTTCCTCCAGTGCCCAGGGAGTGCCCCCTTGCAGATCCCAGGTCCCTGAGGGCCCTCAGCTTCCCAGGGCACAGTCTGGTTCCTGTAGGAGCATGCCCTCCTGCACTGCTGGCCTTCCCGCTCTTCCCACCAGCACCCAGGACCCTGTGTCATGGCCTTAAGTGGTAAAGCCGGACCTCTCTTTGGAATGCAGATCATATATTTGTCGAAATTACTTATGAAACTTTGTTTAATCTTCCATAAAATAACCACACATGTGTTTAAAAGTAAAAATAATATTTTACTCTGTATTTGAATTAAATTGCTGCTCTGAGATGATTCTGTGGTTTTGAAAGCCTCCAGCACACTGTCATCAGTTGCCCCCCAGTTTGCTAACCAAAGATTTATTTTACCCCCAGCTTTATTGAGATGTATTTGATGTGTAACATTGTATAAGTTTAAGGTGTATAACATAATGATTTACTATACATATATATTATGAAATAATTACCACAATAAGGTTACTTAACATCTCCATCACCTTACAAAACTACTCCTTCCAAGACTTAAAAAGTGACTGTCCTCCAAGGCGGGCCATGGAGAGGAGCTCTGTGGGAACAGCGTGGCCTCTGTCCCCTCTCATAAAATGCCTTGGGAGCTGCTTCTCCTTAAATGCCTCTTGCTAAACAGTGCTACTGTCATCCTGGGCTTGGAGCCCCTGCCTAGGGTAGCAGAGCCCACGAGGGATTTCTGCACCCCCCCTGGAGCTTGTTATAGACATGCAGATTCTCAGGCCTTGGTGGGGCCCAGGAACATGGGCTTTCCTGAGCTCTTGCGATTCATAGGCAAATTAGTGTTTGAGGAGCCCCTGAGATGGAACCTGGTGAAAGTCCTAAAGCTGGCAGGGGGGACAGCAGCCCCGCAGCTCCGCAGCCAGGGGGCCTGGGAGAGCAGCCCCAGGGGTCCTTCCAGTTAGTCTCAGCCCCAGCGCCACTTCAGTCTCTCATTTCCCTTTCGTGTCCTCTGCCGGAGGGCACTTCCTGATTGTTACTGGGGCCATGGGCCGAGGCAGGCCTGCCGTACCCTGTACTTGGCAGACAGCATTGAGCCGTGGCCAGGCCTGGGACCAGGAGGCACAG